GGAGTTCACAATTGTTGTGTATCACGTGGTGCTAAGAGCTGTGGAGAACAACAAAAGCGGAGGGTGGGGGCGGCGGGGGAGGACTGAGGCGTGGCAGGGAAGGCCTGGAGGAGAAGGTGGTGCTTGACCACAGACCTAAGGAGGCGGGGTAGGAAACTTGACTGGTGGGGATCCAGCCACAGTCACCTAGAGAACTGCAGGGTGAACTGTCTGATACCTCGTCCAGCCTCTTCTTTAATGCTGGGTCTTTGCCGTATGCTCCGGGGGTTCACCCGGGACGGTCACGTTATTGTGTTGGCTCTGAAAGACTAACACCAGAAATTGTTGGCTTCTCAGCATTCTGTTTATCAACTGCTACATAACGAATTACCTCAAACTCAGTGGCTTAAAACAATAATAACCATTTTATTATATCTCATGATGTTATGAGTCAGGAGTTTGAGTAGGGCTTGGCAGGGTGATTCTTCTGTTCCATGTGGTTTTGACACACTTGGTGGCATTCAGCTGGCGGATGGTCTAGTCTGTTTGTGAGAAAGGAGCTAGGAAAGACAGGTGGGGACAGAGTGGGGTGAGGAGGACAGGTGGGTGTCCGGAAGTCTGGCCAGGTTTGGGTGCAGTCTCCATGGACCTGCACGTCTGCAGACCTGCAGCGGAATCTGTGGCTCCTTCACACAGGATTTGAGGCTCCACAACTGCATGTGTTTGGGGAGGAGCCCGGGAGAGGGAGCAGGGAGGAAGCTTCCTGAGTCTGTGAGGATGATGACATTGTCCTGTGCTGGTCCTCCCGCATGGCCCACTTTCGGAGGAGGGCTCAGCGCGGCCTCAGCTGTCACATGTCATCATTTAGAGTTTGTGTGCAGTGGGTATGTGAAGCAGTGCTGGCCAAGGCTGTGCCCATCCATCTTTGCATCCCCTGGTACTCAACCTGGTACTTGGCAAATCGTTGGTCGACCCTCCAAAGCAATGGCTGATATGTCTGACCATGTCAGGCAAGGCGGGACAGCATCATGGGCAAAAGCCAAGGCTTGAGTGCCAGACATGCCCAGGGTCGTGTCGTAGCCTTGCCGATTACTAACGGCGTGATGCTTAGCGAGTTCCTGATCTCTGAAGCGCAGCCTCTTCATCTGTAAAACGGGGTGAGTTACCATGTCTCCCTGGTACAGAGCAAGCAAGCAGGAGATGACGGCTGAGAGGTCATGAGGGGAGACTGTCTGTCCTGTACCCGCGGGGCCTGGCAGGCCACTGGTGTGCACGAAGGTCTGCTGAGGGTTGAATTAAGATCAGGCAGGCTCGTGCTCCCAGCCTCCTGAGATGAGTTCTGTGACGGATGCTCACAGAATTCTCTGTAGCTCCGGACACCCCGTGTTCTTTACCCGGAGGGCCTCAAGTGCGCTCTTGTAATTGGCGGCCCCTGGTGAAAAGACTGTTGCAGGCTGCCTTCTCCAGAAGCAGATGCCGAGCTGGAATTTGGGGGTAAGATGTCTATTAGGGATCAACAACTAAGAAGGGAAGTTGGGGGAAACAGGATTGGGCAGAGGGAGGAGTCAAACTGAGAAGCAAACCCAACAGGCGTTGCCAGCCTGGCAGGAAGCTCTGGAGCGGATGCTGCCCATCAGAGCACCCCCGACAGGCTGACACCCTCTACACCCCCCTTCCAGGCGTTGGACGCAGGGGAATGGACCTTGGGTCACGTGGCTCTGGCCAGGGCTGCGCTGTGCAGCGGAGGCAGACCTGAAGGAACTGGCAGCTGGACATTATGTGCTGACCAGGTTCCCTACAAGTTATTTCACGAAAGGACATCTGGTTGGTGCCTCTCCATTAACCACAGAGATTTTTTACTTATCTTGTGTACAAGAGCGGAGAGGAATTCATAAAGGGTCTCGTTTTGGAGAAACACATTTGCATGTCTTTCATAGGATTTTATAAAACAAACATTGAAAGGGACATTAGCTATTTGGGTTGTCTGTAGTAATAATACAGAATTGACTAGAGAAACACTCCATGTCCCAAGAGGATGCTGGGCTTAGACTGCAGTTGTAACAGGAGGGCCATATGGAATGGGGCAGAAGGAACTGTGTTGCAGACGCACCATGTCTTGGTCGTGATGATAATTCTAAAGCCACAATATTTGTTAATCACACATAGTAAACAATCAGTAAACATTTGTCAAATGAAGAGAGATTTGTTTGGAGCATCTAAAATGTGTGAGGTGTGGGTGCTGGAGGCCCTGATTATTTCCCTTTTCTCAAAGTCACTTAGAGCCCCTTGACCAGACCTCACTTTGAGACAAGCTGACCAGAGTGGAGGAGGAGCAGCTCCAGTGTAGAGAGGTCAAATCCACTGATGGACAGAGATCCAGGGGTGGGATGGGGTGATGCTCCTGCCCATGCTTGACCTGGAGCCCACGGGAAGCTCCAGCCAATGAGGCCAACTCAGAATTGGAAAACCAAGCACACCTGCTGAAAGATTACAACCATAAAACACAGGTGCCAGCTTTTCATTTATTAAAGCAGAAAGACAGTTGGAGGTGTCTGAAGGTTTCAGGCTTCATGGCAGCTTTGCTGTGTGTTTAAGCCCATCATACAAACACTCCGCATAACCGCCACACTACGATGGTGACGGCCTTCTGTGAGGCTGACAGGTCGAAGTGGAAGGAGCTCGCTGGAGCTGGTTGCTTCCTTGCACAGGACTGTTTGTAGCAGCCGCTATGGACAGACAGAGGAAATCATAACCACACGCCCCTCCCAGGGGTTGGCGGCGGTGGTCTGAGCCACTCAGCGGGCCGTGGGAAGGCAGTGGTGTCCAGTACCACTCCAGCCAGCCCTCCTTGACCACCAACTCCTCTCAAGCTGCTGTAGGTAACAGGACAGCACTACTGCCCAACAGACGTAATGTCCCGTTGCTCAAACCTTGCTAATTTTGGGGGGGAAGTTTTCCGGCAGCTGATTTCTAATACGTGAAGTACAAATTTGAGAAATGACCAATTTTAACAAATTTATTCACTCAGCATAGTGTATCTGCTATATCCAAGGCACAGTGTATGGGGTATGTTTGGCACATAGACCAGATGAGGAACGCACACACGAAGTTGCTGTCCAAGGGCTCACTCACCCAAAGAGGCTGCTTGTCCTGGAAACTATCTACAAACCAGTTTATAAGCCATACAGTGACACCAGCCTCATGATTCTCAGCCGAGGTTGGGGCGGGGGCGGTCTCACCTGAGACTTGGCTTTCCCATATTGCTAGAATGTAAGCATCTTGACAGAAAGGACTATCATATTCCCATTATAACCTCAGTGAATATAGAAAGGGACTGGCTCACGGTGTGCACACAAATGTTTGCTGAATGAACAAATGAGGATTCTGTAGGCCTGAAAGACAGGCCAAAGACCAAATCGCTAGTCATGCAAGCAGACTGCTTCAGAATGGCAATCCCCACTTGAATGTGCATGTTGTGATGTGTTGATTTAAGATTAGTTTTTAAAAATTGTTTTTCAGTAGAAAAGGCAATTTCTTTTTTATAATAAACACATCCAGCTTCATTCAGTTTCTTGATTTTTCTGATTTATAGAGTTCCAGTAAAATGTAATTATATTATAACCCTCTTTTATCATTATTTCCGAAAAGTACGCACACAGCGTATTTTATGGAAATGTTGAGTGGATCACAACTTCCTTGTGGGTTACCCCTTGTTGATTCTTCCGACGTTTTTATGTTAGGATAAACCTGCTACTAAAACCTAGTTTAATTTGAATATAAAATGGTCCTATTTATGCAGTCATTTAAAAACGAAGACAATTTGCCAACAAAGGATACTTAAAATCTTTAAAATATAATATAGCTGCAGCATGTCTTTAATCCTGCATTGAAGCTGCGTTAGGACTGGGACAGTCTAATAGTGACAGTCGGGTCCTAAAAGAAGTCTTTGGAACTAGGCGTGGTCATTGTGCGTTAGGGTGCAGTGCAGGGTTCGTAGTTCTTGTGGTGTTCCCACATCTCCTTTCTTAAAAATCAGGGGGGAAAGGGCTTCCCTGGTGGCGCAGTGGTTGAGAGTCCGCCTGCCTATGCAGGGGACACGGGTTCGTGCCCCGGCCCGGGAAGATCCCACATGCCGTGGAGCGGCTGGGCCCGTGAGCCATGGCCGCTGAGCCTGCGCGTCCGGAGCCTGTGCTCCGCAACAGGAGAGGCCACAACAGTGAGAGGCCCGCGTAACCCAAAAAAAAAAAAAAAAAAAAAGGGCCGAAGACCTAAATAGACATTTCTCCAAAGACATACAGATGGCCAAGAAGCACATGAAAAGCTGCTCAACATCACTAATTATTAGAGAAATGCAAATCAAAACTACAATGAGGTATCACCTCACGCCGGTTAGAAGGGGCGTCATCAGAAAATCTACAAACAATAAGTGCTGGAGAGGGTGTGGAGAAAAGGGAACCCTCTTGCACTGTTGGTGGGAATGTAAATTGATACAGCCACTATGGAGAACATTATGGAGGTTCCTTAAAAAACTAAAAATAGAATTACCATATGACTCAGCAATCCCACTACTGGGCATATATCCAGAGAGAACCGTAATTCAAAAAGACACATGCACCCCAATGTTCACTGCAGCACTATTTACAATAGCCAGGTCATGGAAGCAACCTGAATGCCCATTGACTGACAAATGGATAAAGAAGATGTGGTACGTATATACAATGGAATATTACTCAGCCATAAAAAGGAACAAAATTGGGTCATTTGTAGAGACATGGATGGACCTAGAGAGTGTCATACAGAGTGAAGTAAGTCAGAAAGAGAAAAACAAGTATCGTATATTAACGCATATATGTGGAATCTAGAAAAATGGTACAGATGAACCAGTTTGCAAGGCAGAAATAGAAACACAGGTGTAGAGAACAAATGTATGGACACCAAGGGGGGAAAGCACAGGGGGAGGTGGTGGGATGAATTGGGAGATTAGGATTGACATGTACACACTAATATGTATAAAATAGATAACAAATAAGAACCTGCTGTATAAAACAAAACAAAAACAAACAAACAAACAAAAAATGGCGTGGGATGGAAGAGCCAAACTCAGTTGAGTTCTTCCACTTAACTGCACAGTGTTATTTAGGTTTGGCCCGTGCCTATTGCTTGTTCTTCTAGGTTCCTCAGAGGTTATCTGGGTCTCCTCCTGGAAACGGTGGCCATATAGACAGCTCCGTCCATAGACTGCCTTGGGGAAGCCATCCTTCCCTTTGACTGTAGGCCGTTCTTCTTGTGCCGGGACCCATGTTGATGTGCTGGTCCCAGGCCAATGCTTATTTGCCACCAACTGCCCACACTCGGGGTGGGTTGGCGCAGCCTTTGTATTACCCTTTGCTCCCCCTGGTTGCTGCCCACTTTCTGCTCACTTTATTTCTCACTAACATGTAGTTTAGAAGTGGGTGGGGAGAAAATGGACACCATGGCAGAGCCTAGAGCTTTTGTGTCCCCTTTGGAAGGGATGGCCTTGGAGCTGAAACCACAGCAATTCACAGCCTGCTGGGAAAAGGAGATGCTTCCTCGGGAGCAAGTGGCAAAGCTGGTATGGTTTATGGTGCTGCTGTAATTGTCCTTCTTGGAAATTCCACTGGACTAACCTGGAAAAACTTGGAAGATAAGTTTGAACAGAGGAGAAGTTAAAAATTGGTCAGCGAAGGTGATTTTATGGTATTTTGGAAATGTTATTTCCCTATCCTAGCCTCTTATTCTTCACACTCTAATACGGCTATTTGATCTCTAATTGTACACATTTAAAATATAGAGACAGGGTGAAGAAAGTGAAAAGTAACGGATGTATTTAAACAGTCATTTAAAAAGCACTTTTCTAATAAATGAAAGTTTTAAATGTGATAAATTTGCCGAATAGTTAAAAGAAAGACACAGAGCAAAGGTGAATTCTGTTAACTTTTTTTTCAGCCTAATCTCTAAGTTGAAAGCTTTTTTTTTTTAACATGTTAGCATTATACAGTATGAAGAAGAGAAGCATGGAAGCAGATATCCTTGCAGTGGCCTCAGAAACAAAAGGGCAAATAGGACCAACCCATTTTATAGGGAGCAGATAGAGTGGACCATCACACAAGCCACTCAACACAGTGAGCCCATAATGGAGCCGGTTCCCACCAACTGAGGTTCTTAGTCTCCGTGCACGGGCTGAGAGGACCACTTCCATGACACCACTGGACAAGCTGAATCCTTGCTCGGATCAGTGTGGCCGCCAGGTGTGAAATCACAGAACCTCTGGCAGAAATGGGTTGGAAACCAACAGAATCCGGATGACGTGCTGGTATGGTCAGTTACCCAGGGCCTCACTGACCAGTGCTGCAGATAGCTTCAGAACAGGAACAAGGACCTTCACTGGCCCAAAACAGATCAAGGAGACCAGAAGGGCATTAGATCTGAGGGTGTTTGGAAAGATTCTAGAGCAGGAATCTCTAAGACCTGGCATGGGTATCAGCCCCCCAAACCAGGGTAGAAATTCTCCGAAGATGGGAGTTTTCGTGAAGCCTTGTGCATTTGTGGACTATGGCAGTGGCCAGTGCTTCTGTGTCTTCTTTTGGAAGGGGTGGCATCAGAATTGAAGGCACAGCAATTCACCGTGCACTGAGAAATCAAAGCCTCCTCCAGAGGTCAGCTGCATTGACGCTCAGGCAAGCGGCAAAGCCAGGGAGGCTTGCAATGCTGCTCCTTAGTCCTCCTTTGAAAACTGCAGGTATGGCCGCCAGGAGCCAATCAGCAGCCCCCTGGGATGGCCAGTCAGTTTTGAAGACTCTGGCTTGGCAAATCCTGACGAAAAGTATAATGGTATTCAAATTCATCCCTTTCTGAGTTTTTTATTTCCTTTTTTTCACTTCCTTTTCCTTCTCTGCTTTCCCTTTGGCCCTACCAGTAAGGGAAGCCGTAGCTGTATTTCTTGTTACTTCCAAAAGGACCATCCACCTCAGGGAGAGGATCCCTCAGAGGGAGAGAGCTCCTGAGGTTGTCTCCAGCAACATAGATGACAGCTTCAGGCTTCCTTCTCTCCTTGTAAATGAAACCCACTGAGCCTGGCTGATGCAACCCAAGTTCTTTAGGGTCTTCACAAGATCCCGGCGGAACCTCTCACCCACAAAAACGTAGAGAACAGGGTTGAGGCAACTGTGGAGAAAGGCGATGGTTTGAGTGACCTGGAAGCTGATGTCGATGTCGGTGGAGACAGCACAGCTGGAGATGAGCGTGCTGTAGGCGTCGATGGTCTGCGCCAGCAGAACGCAGTTATGGGGGAGCTGAGATAGGATGAAGACAGTGAGCACAGTGACGGTCACCTTCAGGGCCTTGTGCTTGGATGACCTCTTGGCTTGTATCAGGGTGTGAATGATGATGGTATAGCAGCAAGCCATGACCACAAAAGGGAGGAAGAATCCCAGGATGACTTTCAGAGTCAAGACAGCCGACTTCAGTTTGGTACTCTCGCCACTGGGGTAAACCATGGTGCAGATAGCGATCCCATACTCCTTCTTGACTTGGCTGTACAGGAGTTCTGGGACGCAGAGCGCGGCCGCCATCACCCAGACAGTAAAGCAGACCATTTTGCTGTACAGAAGCCTTTTCTGCCTCCACATCTGCGCTCTCATGGCCTGAGCAATGGCGATGTACCTGTCCACGCTGATGCACGTGATCAGCAGCACACAACTGTAGAAGTTCATCTTGTACATGCTGTTGACCACTTTGCACATGAAGGTCTGGAATTTCCACTGGTCGGCGGCAGCAATGGCCCAGAAGGGAAGGGTGATGAGAAAGAGAAGGTCAGCGATTGCCAAATTCAAAAGGAACATGTCGGTCATGGTCTTCACCCTCGTGCAGTACCAGTAGACAAGGATGACCAAACTGTTGCCCAAGGCCCCCACGATGAACACGAGCCAGTAAAAGGGTGGAAGGAAGTAGCTTGCGAACTGCCTGACGTGGTTTTTCTTACAGAATAAGTCAGTGATGTTGAAGTTCCCGTAATCTTCCATGGAAGACGTGGTGTCATAGCTATAGTCATCTGACATGTTAGGGATCAGGCTCTGCAAGGAGACACAGGACGGCACCGGGTCAAGGGCATGCTTTTGGAGGTTCTATCTCATGATGGCAGAGGCATGGAGCCCTTGAACCTTCCATTCCCAAAGTCTGTGATAAGACAAAAGAAATGTATGTGTAGGAAGTAGGAATTCTGAGAGCATCTGCTTGGATTGTAAATGATTTATTTATTCAACAAATGTTTATTGAGCACCTACGACATGGTAGGTACTGGGTACATGCTGGAGAGTCAGACATGGTTCCTGCTCTCACGGAACTTACCTGCTCTGGGAGGAGACACTCAAGCAAAGGAACAGTCACAGGCTGCATGACAGATGCTCTGACGGCGTGGGAAAGGGGGTCTGGGACCACTGGTGGGCGGACTTTTATCAAACTAAGTGAATGGTTCTGACTGTCCCTTCTCTCTACCCTCCCAAAAAGGTCCTCAGAGGCTTTTAAACTTTTCTGGGTCCAGGTTCCCCTGAGTCTTCTGAAAGCTGTGGATCCTCTGTTGGAGAAGCGCCAAAGAGTCACACATGCACCCACTTACACATGTGCACACACATGAACACACACACACATATTCATACACTCTCACATACATGCACATACACAAGAACCAGGACAGACTACGTGATTTCAGGGTCCCTTGTTCAAAATTTGTTAAGAATTTCAAGATAGCAGAGCATTAAATCAAGCAAGTGACACTTCTAAGCATGAAGTGTGCAGCATGGGTGTGTGCAACACACCCATGAAACCAGCCCTCACAAGCACACACACACACACATTTACAAACACGCGCACACAAACATGCCTACACTAATATACACACTCACATGTACATATATGCACACATTCAGACACGTGTGCACACACCCTCATGATGTGTACACACATGTGCTCACACACACACCCCTCATTACAGCTTCAGTGGGTTCCTGGCTCAGAAGCCTTCCTAGAACCCCTGCTGGGGGAAGAGGAAATAAAGGCTGGAGATGGAGCCCTTGAGTCAAGCCTGGGATGGAGGGAATGGAGGGGAGGTTTGCCTGGTGGAGGGGAAACTCGGTCCCGCATCTGACATGTTCCAACGCCTCCACTTACAAATTCTCACATGCTCTCACTTCCCACCAGCACCCCCCTCCTAGGGCCCCCATTAGGGCCCCCAATCCTGCCAGGGACCACTAGCTCTCGTTCCCTTGCCCCAAGGCACATGCCTTGCCAAATCTCATCTCTCCCTTCATTTCTCCTCCGGAAATGCAGCAGTTGTTCAGTTCATCTAGAAGCATTTGGACTAGAAGTAACCTCAGATCCCCACTAGGTTTTCATTTTGTTTTAAATATTTAATGCCAATAAATATTTAAGTAAAAATATTTAGTTTATGTATTAAACTATTCATGTTGAAATAATAAAACATCTTCTGCCAGTCGTCTTTTAGCTGGGAGTTCCCCTTCTACACACATTATCATCTCCATCTATTTCTAATAGTTTCAACCAGCATTTCCCAAACCATGTTTTGGGTGGAACACTAGTAGTTCAATAGTTGAGAATCTCTGCTTACTATATCACCTTCTTTGAAATTCACAATAATCATGAGCATATTAAAGGCTCTGAGAAGTCCTGCTGAGCTTCTTTTATTTTAACTGCATGATAGCATAGTAAAGGCTCTGAGAAGTCCTTCAGAATCTGTTGAATTTTGTTTAATAATGTTTCCTAATTTTACATGAGCATGGAACCTGTCGTGTGTGTGTGTGTGTGTGTGTGTGTGTGTGTGTGTTTACTGAGTGCTTATTAAGATATCAGGACACACTGAGTGGACTGATAAGGTGCAGTAGACTCCAGGAGGCTGTGGTCTCCTGAACTCTGAAGCTCGTGCCGAGAGCTGAGGTGATGGGTCCATTCCGTTTGGGCCCCGACTGGCAGGAAGTGCCAGGAGGATGCCCAAGGTAACCTGGACTGCAATTAGGAAAACCTGAATCTGGTCCTGATCCGCCTCTAGTGTGCGACCAAGAGAAAGTCCTATTGCAGAGAGACCCCTGGGGGCCAGATCCAGGAGCTGGCTCTTCAGGAGCCAGCAGCTGGGAATGCTTCTGGGAAGAGCTGAGGAAAACTCTCCATTTTGAATGTGCCTCGTCCCCCCAGGCCTGGTTCACCCATCCTCAGCGTACATTTAAAGATTCCCCTCCCAGCTTTGGCCGTTGTCTGCAAGCCCAGATCATTGGGAGGACAGATCTTACGGATGACTCATATTTCAGTGAAGATGCTAGGACACTTCTGCCAAAGCAGGACATGGGAGCCAGGCACCGTCAGTGGCCCCACTGGGAAGGGCATCCCCTAAGAGGTGGGGTTTGAGTAGACTTTGAGAGGAAACAACTTTCAGGCGGAAGGAAGAACACGAAGAGCACAGAGACCCACAGAAGTATCACTGGGGATTTAAGAAGTTAGGAGGATGACATTTTGGAGGAAAGTCAGTAAAACCATGCAGATGAGCAGGTGTCAACTGTGAATCCACACAGTGAGTAAGTGTCAAACTGCTTTGTAGAGGGTGTTTTTTTTTTACATTTTGGGGGGGTTAAATAGCTTTAATAGACTCTCACCTGAGCCTGCACCCAAGGCTGTGAGTTAGGGAGGCAAACAGCATCCCCATTCACAGATGTGGCACAGAGGGTCTCACAGAGGGGACGCCTAGCAGTCCCAGTGTCCCGGGAGACCCAGCCTTCTCCATGGCCTGGTAAATGAGCCTGTGACCACCGCTCCCCAAGACTGTGTCCCAGAGTGGGGACACTGTGTCCTGCTTGAAGCACACGGAGCACGTTTTCTTGTTGGGTGAGGGTTGGAGGACCCAGTGCTTCAGCATAGAATTATATTTAGTTAGGGACTCCCCAGACATATTTTAAGGTGACTGAATTCACACACAAAAAACCTGGGTTTGTGTGAATTTTATCAAGACTACAAGGTAAGCCTATATCATCCTTACAAGTTCAAAGCATTGGCCGTCTTTTTGAGGATGACAAAGGAAGAATTCACGTCCCAGGCTAGGGGGAGCCTGGACAAACTGTCCACCTGCATCGAGACTTGTACTCATAGCTTTGTCCATGCCTGATAGGTAAATACCCAAGGATCCTTTGAAAATCTCCCAGCAAATGTAAACGTCGATTATTTACCAATTTATTTGATTCCCTACTGTCAGAGCACCTAGTGCACGTCAGACCCAGTGCGGAGTACAGGACATGCATGCATTTAATCCTTGACCTTCCAGGTAGGGACGGGCCCCTCTTCCAGATGAGGGGCACCTGGCTTCCGGGAGGAATTCTGAGGTTGCCAAGCCATTCCTCCCTCCCTCCCTGCTCTCTGAATCCTAGAGACACTGCTCTTCCTGGAGAAGCTACCCACAAAGGCTGTTTTCAAAGTCTGGGTCAGAACATCTTGAGAGAAGATCAGTGTAAGGATCTGAAATCCACAAGGTCTTGCGTGCATCCAGGAGCACCTGCTGGAGCCTCCTGGCCTGAGCACTGTGTGGAATGACTTCCCACAAGCTGCCGTGAGTTTACCCCGGGGTCTGCATCGAGGTGGCATCTAAGGAGCTCCCCGTGGAGCCCACCCTCTGCACCGAGAGGGGACCTCCAAGGGCCTGTCCATATAGCTCTGTGTCCTGTTCACCAAGACCTAGCCTAGATATTTGTTTGGCATTTAAATATAAAAGAGAAGTGAAGAAAGGCTTTCGTACCTCCTGAAGAACAGGTGAGGGTTTTTTTTTCTTTTCGCTCACGCACCATATAAGTTTTGTGACTTAATCAGGATTCCCTTTTTAATTGGGAAACTCAGTCAAACTGGTAGCCCAGTTATAGTAACCAAATAAGACCCTTCAACCATTGCTGTCCAATAGGAGTATAAGGCAACTCTGGGTTACTTTTGCATTTTCTAGTAGCCAAGTGAAAGAAGTAAAGAAGAGACAGGTGGAATTCACCTTAATAATGTATTTTATTGGAACCTAGTATGTCTAAAATATTTTTTCGTTACATAAGCAATGTAAAAGTTACCAAAATATTTTACATCCTTTTGTTGCGGAGATTATATTTGAATGGAGTGCATTTTACACGCACAGGGCATCTTAGTTGGAGTGGCCCCATTTCATGTGCTCACGGGCCCCACGTGGCTCGTGGCTACCTCACCAGACAGCACAGCTTTAGGCTGAAAACCCGAGTTCTAACTCCTTCTCTCGGTCTTTTCTCCCTATTCTGTCAATTTCCTCTGACCCTGTTTTAATGTATGTCCTTTCTTTTCTATTCTGTTGTACGCACCCAGTAAGGTGCCTCAAGCCTGTTAGGGAACACGAGGCAGGCAGTGGAGACGGAGTGAGACATGGTGTCGTTATTGCTGGGAAGTGTCCAGGGCCTGCTCTCTGAAGGGGCTGACCATTCTCTTCCACATCAAATTAGAATGTCTAGAAATCTTCTTACCTAAGGTTTCTCTTGCATTTCTTAGCAAACTGTGTTGTTCTCAGACACTCTTAAAAACATGACGTCTCTACCAACTAGACCACTATTCGGAGCCTGTGGACCCCCGTGAGCAGAGGTCTGAGCCAGATCTAGAATCTTCTTCCAGTGTGAGGAGTGGTGATTCGCTGGGATGGACAGGGCCGAGACCTGGCCAGGATGGTGTTTGTGTGAAAATGCCACCATCTCATTCCCCGCCTGCCTAAGAAAATGGCATGCTCACCCTAGGCTTGAGAAACAGCTCTCTATTTCTCGTTCCTTGCCAATAAATAGTGTGATTTGTTCACTCATTCGACAGATATTTGCTGAGCACAGAGTACATGCCAGGCAAAGAAACCACTTCCAAAGGACACCATTCGCCTCGGTGATGGAAATAGAATTGGAGTAAAACGTTAGAAAGGACAATGGCTCCTGCACCAGGCCTCGCCTGTCAAGCCCGAGGCTGGGATGGGGGTGGGGGCGGGAGGGGAGGTCCATCTGCGTGCAGAGCCCTGACGGCAGCTCCACAGCTCAGAGGTGCCCTAGACAGGGCGGCATCGTGGGATGGCTCTGTTACTCCCAGGGGGCTACTTAATTGGGGGATTTATATCATTTATTTTGGATGATTTTTAGCATTTTGATCAAGAAAAGAAGCGCATTGTAGTCATAGGTCTAAGTAGACGAGACAATGTGTCACGGCATGCCCAGTGGCCGGCCCGGAACTCAGCAATGGGCTGCCTTCTCCTCACGTAGGCTTTTGTTTCTGCTCTGGAAAATGTTTTTGGAAGCTCAACAGGTTTTAGAATGATGTTCAGATGTTAGAGACCATCTTAAGAGAGGAGGAGACAGACCCAAGGAATGGAAGGTTCTGCCCCAAACCCTCAGCCACTGGGGGAGGGTCAAGGCCAGAGCCATCCCCCAGCCCCTCAGTCCCAAGCTGGGGCACTTTTAATCCCTGCTGACCCAAAGCCCAGCTCTCCACGTCCTGATGTTGTCAAAGTGGCCACTCCAAACGTGAGCCACGGCATCTGGGTCCCAGCACCTGAGCTGGGCCTCACGGAGCCCAAGCAGAGTGGCCGTCAGGTGCCCTACCTCCCCACTCCCCAGCCCGGAAAGATTCTGGGCACCAGAGGATGCCCGGGAGCTGCCTGATGCTAGGGGCAAACCTCAGTGCACGGCCGGGCAAGGGACCTGCGCTGCCCGCTGGTGCCCCCAGCGAGGCTCTGCCCCACAGGCCCCGGCCCCCGAGCCCGGGCAGGTGTGTCCTCCTCCCCTCAGGAGAACCTTGGCCCAGAAGCAGCAGCCCAGGCAGTGAACGTCGTGCTGCTCCTGGAGCAGGAAGAAGGTCTCCAGAGCTTTCCGAGGCCTCCCTCACCGACTCACGTTGTCTCTGGAAACCTTCCCCCAGCCCCAGGCCCCTCATTCCCACCTCTGGGGAGAGGCCAGGGTAGAGGGCAAAAGCTGTGCCCTTCATTGCTCCTTAGTGCCAGGAGGCGGCAAATGGGAGGGGCGGGACACAGGCAGGGAGGGACGCGTTGGGAGCAGTGGGAGTTGGCAGGCACTGCCCCAAGGTGCTCTGTCCCCGCCTTCGAGGAAGTGAGACTTCCACACAGTGAGGCTTGGACCTCAGCGTGTTGACATTTGCCCACAGGGGGGGACCCAGGGAAGCCGTGACTCTGAGAGCACCCTCCAGGGCTCCTCCTCCTTTTAGCCACGAGACCTGGAACCTTCCGTTCCTTCTCCCAGCTCGTTTCCTCATCTGTAAGCATGGCTCTGCCTTTACCGTGAGGCTGCAGGAAAGTGGCACCCTGGCTGGTTACTGGCACATGGCCAGTGCTCAGAAAGGTGGCCACAGGGACGTCATGGCTATTTCCCAGGGTCGTAGCTACAGAGGTCCCATCTTGTCCCCATGTAGGTGGTGCTGGACACCTCTTGACCACAAAAGGTCATTACTGGGGTGCATTTTTCTTCCTCTCTGGAGCTGCCTTGCAGTCTGGATATCTTCCAAGATTCCAGAGGATAAAACCGGGTGACTGACAGCGTCAGCCCCGTTTCCAGCATCAGGGATGAAGAGCAAATTCTAACTCAGGAGAAACTAAGGGTCTAATTCTGGTTAGAAAAATAGAGACTGACCTCGTTACTTCACCAGGTCCAAAATAATTGTCTTGTTGTTACGGGATATGCAATGGCGTATGCAATACTAAGTATCATTAGCATAGGATAACTAACTTTTTGGACATCGGGGGTGGCAACCACCAATCTCCACAGCCGGTGGGAACCTACAGTGTACTGTGAGGGGCAGTTTGTCAGCTCCACTAAGCTTTGATCTCAATACCTACATGTAAAACCCAGATTCTTACTTTGAGAAAAGCAAAATTAAAACCTTTATATATTTTTGTGAGCATTTATGAATATAACAAAAGCATAGGAATTTGATTTGATTCTATAATTAATTACATTTGACTATAAAATCACAAACAATTCTCTGATGATTTTACTCACTCATTTTTGTTGGCCTCTTTTCCTCTTTCAGAGAAATATATATCATTATGTGTTTTTTGTAAAGGCTACATAATGTCATGTAAGAAACAAAACTAACATGCCCACCGTGGGTCTTTTAAAAACAAACTAAATGGATTCTCTCTTGTCCTCTTTTGTCTGAGTTTCAGAACAGACACATGGGACAAAGACATCCTAAGGATCATATAATCCTCACCTATTAGTAAAATCTAAAATAGCATTTTCCTCTGTCCTCCCACATACCCCAAAGCTCTCCTAGCGCTTCGCGTTTGCAGAGCCCCCTGTGCTGGGCATCGACCACCTGTCCTGGGCACTGCTCAGCAGAGCTCTTACCCTGGGAAACCACAGAGAAATCCTTCCGCCACAATAGATTCCTTCCCACTCCCTGAAAAGAGGCCCCAAAATAGAGTGCATTTTGAGGAACCCCAGGGGCGTAGCTGTACTCACTGTGACTTCTGTGGGGACCATGGTGGGTCAGATGCAAGCTTGCTTCTAGAAAGAGAGGGCAAAAATCAAAAAGAGGACTGGCTCTTAACTGAACAGTAACAAGTACCTAAAGATGGAGATTAAGCATTAAATCTGTTTGTTCTCATGGAGAAAAAAAAAATCCCAAGCAAGAGTTAGAGTCCATGTTATACTGATGTCAAGTCAAATAGATTTCAAGTCAGGTCTAGATTTCAGTATCATCTTGGTTGGTAACCTAGAAATGAAAGAAACCTCTCCTTTGAGAGCCCTGTGTGGCTTTGACATCTTCCCAGCACGTCCTTTTAATCTTAGCCCTTTTTCTCTTGACTCAACTTCTCTATCAGGTGCCACCTACCCCCATTTTATCCACCAAGGGACTCCAGAAGATGGCAGGACAGCAGTGACTTAAGAATGTGCTGGGCTGACTGCAGGGGAGGGGCCTCTGGGTAACCGGGTGGCAAGGACACAGGAGTGAGGTGGCGTCTGTCAGTATCAGCCCCTCTCCAGGAGAGGCCCCGTGCTCCAGCACCTACCTGTGTGCTCTGTTTACAAATTCAGGGCCTATTTACTCTGTACCCCAACTCCAGCAGGAAAAGAAAGTCCTTTTCTTTGGTTTGTTTACCAAAGAAAAGGTATTTGTCTAATGCAAAGGGCCTCCGAGCTGAGATAAATCTCAGCTGTTGTTTTCCTGTGTTTTGAATCTCTGCAAAACCCACCCCTCTGTGACCAAGGGAACAACAGCTTGGCTCCCTTCAAGGAAGGGGCCTGTGCCCATATTTCCAAGAAACATGTTCAGCCCACCCCAAGCTTCTGGAAGGAAACATTCTCCTTCATAAATCCAACCCTAACCTGTTGGGCTTTTTTTTCATAACACGTTGTAACTGTCCCTGCTTTTCTAAAAGTGCAGTCGTTTTAAAAACATAACATGAGGGACAGCCACTCTGGGAACCCGTTAAACATACACCCTGTGATCTAACCATCCCACTTCTAAGTATTTACCTAAGAAAAATGCAAGCTTATATCCACACAAAGACTGATACATGAATGTTCATGGCAGCTTTGTTTGTAATAGCCAACTACTGGAAATAGCTCAAATGTCCTTCAAGCATAGCTAATGGATAAGTCACTGTGGAATAGCCATACAATGGAATTGGAACAGCTACTGATACACACAGCAACGTGGGTAAATAATTATGCTAAGTAAAGAAGCCAGACCCCCAAAAAGTACATACTGTGTGATTCTACTTACAAAAAATTCTAGAAAATGTGAACTGATCAGTAATGACAGAAAGCAGATCAGTAATTTCATGGTGAGAGAGGGAAGGGGAGGACGGGGCAAGGCAGGAGGGGGATAAGAGCACGCCAGGAAGCCTTTGGGGTGAGAGGTATGTTCACTATATTGACTGTGTGATGGTTTCACAGTTATATACATATGTCAGAACTTAGGTTCTGCACTTCATATATTTGCAGTGTTTGTAGCTGGACCTCAATAACGTGGCTAAAGTAGAAAAAGGAAGAACAGCAAGATCTGATGAAAACTTTGTTTTCGTCCCTCTTCAGAGTCATATCTGGCCATTAGCAGGCCAGGAGAAAGGCGGCCAGAACTTCCTCGCTGCAACCTTCCTGCCAGTGGCTTCTCCACAGTGCCTTGGAGTGCCTTGTGCTGTTGTGTGGGAATTGAGGGCTCAGCATGAACTCATGTATTTTAGGGTTAGGTGAGATTAGACAGATGATAGATGACAGATAGATGGTAGGTAGGTAGGTAGGTAGGTAGGTAGATGGTAGATAAATTTGTGTGGACACGTGCTATGTATTTGAGCATATTTCCTGGCTGTGTCTGCTGAGAGGACCTAAAAGCCATGACACACAGTAGAATGACCTTCTAGTGCCCAGACCTGGGTTTCTAAATACCTTTCTCCCTGCCAAGAAACCAGGATTCCTTGGAGAAATGTCTGATTCCAGAGTTAGGGCAGGGAAACTATAAGATGAACCTGGGACTGATTTTTGCCACAGAAGGCAAGTGTTCAGAGACCATGAGGACTTGTCAAAGGACATAGGCGCCAACTTGATGGGGTTCCACTAGCCAAATCTGAGGCAATTTAAGCATCAAATTAAATAATGATAGCCGTCTTTATAGCACATTCAATTAAATGAAGATCCATGAATCCATACTGATGAAAATAAATGAGTAAATACATGAGAAAAGTAATATCCTCTTATGGTGCCAACTAATAAGTACAGAATGAATAACATAATACGAAAATCACCAATGGATGATGAAATTAGTGGCTGAATGTTTGATGAGGAATTTACTTCATCTCAAAGCATCTCCCCCCAAATTACATATTGCCCCATTGACTTTATTGTTCTCTCTGTTTTTTTTTTTCTGAATCATGCTCTAAAACAATAAAATCTTTGTAAAAAATTGCCCAGTTAAGTTTGAAAGACCTCAACTCAGCTAATTTAATTTTAATACAGCTTGGGTAATAGGGAGATGGTTTTTGAGACATTTGTTAGAAAACACTTCATATATTTCTAGTACCTGTGGCTTATGTCATTTCCTTTTAACTTGCATGAAGAGACTGAATATTAACTAGATAATATCTGAGAAAACAAATGCCCGAAGGAGGAAGCCACATGAAAGAATGGCTTTGGTTATAGTTTTAGGTCGAAAATAAGGATTGATGGTAATGATGTTGGTAAGAGTTTGGGGGAAAAGCCTCCACTCGGCAGTGGGGAGTGTAAATCGTTGTGACCTTTTTGGAGGGTTAAGCCATATCTTTCAAAACATACAAAGCACAACAGCTCTGACTCAGCAGTTTATCTGCTGAAAACACGTCCTCCTAGTAGTCGCACAGAGAACATAAAGATGCATATACAGGCATATATGTTGCAGCATTTTTTTTTTTTTGTAGAACCAAAAAACTAGAAACAACCTACGTATCTAGCAATAGTTAATATTCTGATACATCCATTCAGTAAACCACATGTAGTCAAGACATAGAATAAAATAGACCCCACACTGATACAAAGAGGTCAGCAAGATTATTATAGGTAAAAATGCAAGGTGTAGAAGCTTACGATGCATGATCTTTTTAGAAGTATATAAAAGGTTATACACTTCACAGCTGATCAGTACTGAAACGTTCTCTGGAAGGAGCTTGAACAAGGATGACCAGTGGAAAGTGAGACTTTCATTTTTTCCTTTAGGTTTTGTAAACTATTTAAATATTTTACTTTGTGCACGACATTCTATTTTAAGGGCTATCATAAAAATAACTTGTCAGCTTTAAAAAAACAAAAAAAAGAAGACCTAGTGCTATTCCATTCTGTACACCTGTTTGCAAAACTTGTCCAAAGGAGGAACTTGTAGCCTCCTCCAGCTGGCCTGGAAAGCAGCTCTGGAAGAGCAAATCTAGCAAGTAACTTGCTCAGGCTACTTTTTGCAGCTTTGGAATCCTACACTAGCTTTTTATAAAGGTTTTTCTTCCTTCCATTATAAAAGTGTTTCTGGCTCATAGAAGATTTGGAGAGAGCCCGAGAGTAAAACTAAAAACGAAATATATTCCTCTGTGGACCCACCACCTAAAGACACCGCTGAGAGCCTTTTCATCTATTCCTCTCTTCTCTTTGTCAGAATACTTTTTGTCTATTTTATTCCACAAACTGCAAAGTCTCAGAGCTTGATTTCATTTTCTTCTCGCCCCTGAGAAGGAGAGAAAAACGGGGAAAACCCCACATGTGACAAAACACACTGAAAGCAAGGAACCTCTCAACCGTCTGTTGGGAGAACACGAGCTTTGGACTCAGGGCCGCCCCGAATCTCTCCCCTTGCCGCTCGGTGTGGCCTCATCCAGGGCAGTGCAGCTGCCTAATCTGAAAAGCCTGATTGTGTTTCGAAGCCCAGTGGGGTGAGGTGGGGGTAGCACACTGGCCGCCATCTGCTCCTTGGTCCATCCTTTGCTGCCTGTGGGACCTCAGCAAGGAGTGACCTGCCCTCCCCCAGCCTTGGTTTCCTCCTCTGTAAAATGCACGTGATAGCCCAGCCTACTCCAAGGGCTTGTTTCGAGGGTCAAGTGCAATGCTGTGCATTAAGGCTCTTAGCGGAATGCAGAGAACTCTGCAACAGTGAGGGAGCAGTCTTCATCCCACAGCTTACTTGACACCAGATACACTTGCTTGGCTCAAACACTGTACAAGACATGATCCATGTCCTCAAGAAACTCACATTCAAGTACAATGAATACATCATGGCTGCAAATACCAATAATGGGAAATGCTATGAGACGATTTGGGAATTGGGAGAAGGAAGCTGGGTCTCTGGCGCTGGGGAAAATCCAGGAGGGCTTCATTGAGGAGGCAACATTTTTGCTGGCCCTTACAGGCTGGAGAGTGTGGGGACATGCAGTGAGGGGACAGAACGTGACTCCAGGGCAGGGAAACACAAAACATATCCACAAAGGCGTGAACGCCAGAAAGCAGAAGGTATGTGCAGGGTCCTTAGAGGTAGGGAGTTGTTAAGTCTCCGAGAGTGGAAAGTGGCTATTAAAAAGTTAGCCTGGAGTCCATTAATATCTAACCATTATTTTTCTATTCTCTGCTGTCCTTAAAAGTAACCAACATGAAAATCAGCATGGAGTTGCTCGTAGTAGCCCCAGTGAATTGGATACTGATACTAAAGTGAGTCAGGAAGTCAGGTCCTGACTTTGATCTTTGTCCGACTTTGTGCAGGGAGGTTGGATCACCTCTCGCTTTTTTGTTTTTGTTTGGAAGCTCTGCCTTTTTCACCCTGCGTGAAAGCAGGGACTCTGAGCTGTCTATCAGGCTATGTGCTGCCCCAGCCTGGGTCAGATGCCCACCCCTCAGGCACTGTGCTGGGCTCGGGGCTGTGAGTGGGTTGCATGTGAGGGGGCTTCCGAACAGACGGACAGATATTGGGAAAAAAAGAGGCTGTCAAACTCCAGGTGCTGAAATGGCAGGTGAACTTTGGTTGGTTGGGCGAGGGGAGGGAGAAGCAGGCCTCACCCACCGGTGGCTGCCCCACATCCCAGCCCCGCAGTCAGCAGCTGTCCCCCCGCAGTGCATCCAAGTAGTAAGAGCCAACTAAGAACTAAAGAGGGTGAGCGTGCTGACAGGACAAAACAGTAGTGACTGATGAGTCATTTAAAATAGGGCGGCTTTGCCTCTTTCTGATTATAAAGGAGTGTATTCACAATGAACAGCAACCAAAAAAAAACAAAAATCCCCGCAAAGCAAACATATATAATGAAGAAAATAAAAACCCCTCAAACACCTCTCTCCTAGGATAGCCACTGTTCATTTTCTGAGATGCAGCCTTTCAGACATTTTCTCTGTAACACAATCTCACACACACGCACCCCCACACACACACTCTGAAAGGAAATCAGACTGCACAAACCGTTTTCTGTCTTGCTCTCTAGGGAACAGTCTTTCATGGACCACTTTATATGCCAGTTCAGTTTGAGGCCGTATCACCAGATTGGGTGGCTGCCAAGTGTTCCACTCTCCGGATTCTCTACAGTTCATTTAACCAGTCACCTCTCAGTGCAAAGTTCGCTTGTTTCCAGTTTTTCACTGCTACAGAGAATGCAGTGAAATGCATGCTCTCCCTGGGACAGTCTCTCAGACCCAGGGACCTCATCGGGGCTTCCCTTTCCCAGCCCCTGGCCACCTTCTTGCCATCTGTGCCCCCCTCCTGCTTCTCCCTCCAAACCACAGAACAGACTGCCTTGAACCCAAGCTTCACACATGTGGGTGGGAGGCTGTCCTGGAAGCCTGGCCAGGGTGCCACCGGATTCACCTCTGCCTCCCTGGCAGCTTCTAGCCAAGTGCCTGGTTCTCAAGGCCACTGAGCAAACGAGTGGGTTTTAGAAGCCATCGTGGCAGCACACAACGGAGGACACGGGTGACACTGGGACGGGGAGGAGGAGGAAGGGCGATACTCACGGTGGAGGGCAGCGTGTGAGGCTCCTGGAGGAGGCCACCCCGCCAGCTCCGGGTCTGGGGAAGGGGCTGGCCTGCCGTCTGCCTGGGACGAGGTGCAAGCCTTCTGTGAGCTCTGAGCAGGCAGCTACCCGACGAAAACACCAGAAAGGAAGCCAGGCCACCCCTGCCTGTGCTGTCACTGGTGGGGTGGCCAGGAGGGTGGGGAGAGGGGAGTCACCAGCTGCAGCTTCCAGCGCTCAGCTGAGTCGGTGATCTGCAACCAGAAATGAAAAGCAGAGAAATGCTGGGTTAAGGAAAACCGTCTTCTCTGAAGACGCACGTACAGATTGATCACCTGAGAACAGTTTCTTTTCCTAGACAGCATGGCTACTTTCAGGAAATGGGGAGATGGAGAGTCCCATCCAGAGAGGTGGGGAGCCTTTTCTGGCAGGCTAAAGTGTGTACCTTTATAAGATCTCTTTGGGTGGCGTTGTCTGAACAGGCCTGTATGGGTTTATCACCAGCACTGTGCATCCCAATGCAACCCTTTTGGCCTTAGATATACCTAAACCCCTACAGCTGTGCTGTCTAATGCCGTAGCTGTTGGTCACATGTGCCTATTTAATTTAAATTGCTTAAAATGTGACTGGTTCCTTAGTCACACTGGCCACATTTCAAGTGCTCGACAGCCATGTGTAGCCGTGGCTACTGTAGTGGACAGCACAGAGGCAGAGCAGGCCCATCACCTCTGAAAGTTCCATCGAACGGTGCTCCTTTATTAGAAGGTCATGTATGTGACACATATATGGGAATACAGGGAGCGTTGGAGAACCAGAAACACCTTAAAACTGGGGTCAAATACAGTAAGATTTTATTTTGATGTGACCACTATCCATCAGACGGATTAACATCAAGGATGCATTTCATCTTATTAATCATGGGTGTTTAGGTGAAATTTTGAAAACGCCTAAACAACTACATGTTATATTTTTAACAGAGTCACAGAGGAAGTCTTCACCAGCCATGGCTATGGTGGGGCCTTCGATCATGACACAGTTGCACCCCCTCTGGGTCCCAGGGCCAGGTGCTGTGCCTGGCATTTGAGGGGCGTTTAGGGAATAATTGTGGAAGAGAAGCTGCAGTCCACAACCTCTGACGTCCATAACAGAAAAAAGACCCAAGTTGACTCCTTGTTGTCATTATGGCAAAGACCTCTTTTTTAGATTTGTTCTGGGGAAAAATCACAACTACGCTGCAGTGGAGACTCATTTCATCTTGTCAGAACACTTATCATCCTGTGGCCTTGGTGGTGCTCTCCTAGGCACATGGCCCGTCAATCACTGTTGATTCCTACAGAACAAAGCAACGCACACGATGCAGCTTGATTTATTATCTTATCGTCTAAATGGAAAGGCCAACGAATGGCCCATATGAAAGGTACAGAGCAGCCAGCAGTAAGAGTGAAAGCAGTGGTTGATTCAGCAGCCTTGAGGGAGCTGTGAATTCCCTTACTTCGTCCACATTCATTGAACATCGCGTCTAAAACGGCACATGACTGAGAATCAGCCAGATGCTCTCGCCTCTCACTTCTCCCTGTGAATTGGCAAATAATGACAGAGAAGGAAGGGGCAATAGACGGATGAAAATGCTCCCTTAACTGATTTCTGGGTGTCTTGGCAGAGAGAGTAGTGAAGCTGCTTCTCCCTTATGTTTGATTGGGACCTGGGAAAGCTTCCAGGAGGCTGACACACACACTACAGGTGCAAGAGCCCTGGGTGAGGAAGATGCTGTACTTTCTACCTCCTCTTGACTCAAGCTGCTTCTTCACCAGGTATGGGCATCCCAAGTAGACACTGCTTGCCCACCAGATGGCTGGTGAGTCTGGTGGGAAGAAGGGAATTGGGGGAGGTGGTCAGGGAAGAAGAGAAGGGGTAAATATGCTATTGTGGGAAGATGCCCTCTTCTGTGTGGCCCCTCCCCTGCCCCCATGGTCCAGGTGTTCTGGAACTTGGTCCAGAAGTTCTGGATGAGCTTCTTTAGAACTCCCAGGTCCCCTCCCCTGGGCTGCAAAGGAGGCATGAGGCTGGAAGATGCAAGGAGGTAGCAGAGAGAATTTCTGATTTCTCTAAGGAGCCTAGGACAAATGGGATTCTTTTTGCTGTCATTCAGTTTGGGTTCATTCCTTGGAGGGAATGCCCCATTCTTTTGTTTTGTTTCTTTTTGTTTGTTTGCTTTTCTGTGTTTCTCTCTCTGCAAGTAGAATTCAGAGCTGGGTGATTATGGGAGGTTGCCAGTTCCCTTTTGCAGCGGGGATTTCTCCTTTTGCATTCTCACCTAGATGAGTTCTAGAGGGCAGGGTGGTGGGTGCAGGCCCTCTGGGTCCCAGGGCCCAGGACTGAGCCTGGAGTTCAGGGTCATTGAGGGACCAATTGTGGAATGGTAGCTGTAGCCCTGAGGTAGTCTGATGTCTACCTCAGAGGAAAGGCCCAAGTTGACTTTGTCGCAGGGGCCAGTGGGAGAGCCATGTCTGGGTTCTCCCGTGTTCGTCCTCACATTCCAAGCGTCTGACATGATCTCTGGCAGAGAATAAATGAGTTTTGCTTCAGTCCTCTACTTTCCAGGTTCTCTGTATCTAAGTCTCAATTTGTAATCTTGTTCTTCCTGAACCTTCGGTACGTATTAAGAAAGTCAGATCCAAAAGCACGGTGGGGTCTTTGGAAACAGACGATGCTAGATTTCCACTCTTCATTGATTAAGGCCTTATCTTACCTTGGGAAATCCAGAGCGTCTTGAAGGGGTTAACAGTCGTTTGGCAGTGAGGGTCTGACCAGTGCAGGTACAAGGAGTTCCAGGGACAAACTTCCGAGGAGTTAAATTCATGAGGACTTTTCCCACTAACTCCGTGAGGACAGGGACCTTGAGGTCTTGGCATAGTTGCAGCTCAGCTGCACATTCCAGGAGCTTACTAATCATCTTTTGACTACATTAATGAAAAAAACAAACCTCATCTAAGTCCCGGGAATCTAGGGCAATGCCATCCTTTAGAGCTTTCTACAAGGTGGTGGAAATGTCCTGTATCTGCACTGTTCATTGCCCAGCTGCCAGCCACGTGTAGCTAATGAGCACTTAAGCTGTGGTTGGTGTGACTGAGAAGCTGATTTTTCTAAATTTTATTTCATTGCAGTTGGTTTGAATTTAGATGTAAATAGTACATACAGCACGATAGTGCACAGTATAGGTCTAGACTGACGCACATTTCAGCAGCTAATAATCTCCGCCTTAGCAAGAGATCTAGGATGGCTGACTCTACGGTACAGTGCGGGACCACTCTCCTCTCCCCGAGGGCAGGGGGGCTCGAAGGGGAGCTTGTCCCTCCCCAGGAGGCTTAAAGTCAGTTCAGACTTTTCCAGGACACCTGTAGGTTCTTTAAATTCTTCATGTGTTGTGGTTAGCAGTTAAAACCATTAAAGGACAAGAAGGAGGAAAAAGTAGTCGTTTTTGCTAATATCAGGTCCCATGAATAGCCACTGAAAGTTGGGAAGCAACTCAGGAGACAGTTGTCAGAGGCAGAGAGCTGGGGGAAAGAGTGGTCCACAGCATGCACAGCAGTAGGGATGAAAGGAATGGGAGAGACATGGCCATGTGACCCACAGGGGCTGGCAAATGATGGGATGTTGCAGGAGGGGGAAGCAAGATCGTTCAGAGGCTCTGGAAAGACTTGGGTGCCTTTAATAGAGAGGGCAGGCGAGGGGAGGTGTTGGTTTTATAAGATAGTGGTACATTTAGCATTGGATGTGCTACAGTTAACGTACTGAAGTGAAAGTATCTGGAGGCCAGAGAGGAGGTCAGGAGTTCACTGTGTGGCTGCCAAGTTCTTGTAGAACATGCGCTATTTATAAAGGAAATAAACGTCATCCACACCTCCTGAGGTTTTGTGCTCACAGCATGTGAATCATGAGACCAGTTGCAGGATTTCTGATTTTATTTGCACCAGGTATTTATGATAAAAACTAGCCCTTCTGCCCTGGCATGCTTTATCTGACTGGAAGATCTCATGTGAGTCCTTCATTCAACATCTGTTTGCCAAGTTCCTGCTCTGTGCCAGCACTGAGCTCAAAGCTAGGGATGGAGCAGTAAACAGGCCAAAAACTATCAAGTTAACTGACGGAATTAAAGCAGAGAGTTGGCGGAGCGACTGAGGGCTGCTCACACCGGGTGGTTAGGAAGGACTCGCTGAAGAGGTGACACTTAGGACCCGGATTATAAGTTCCCCTAAGGTGAAGATTGGGGTAACCATTCCCAGCAGAGGGAACAGGTGGCAGGAGGAGCTTGGTGTGTCCAAGGATGAGAAGACCAATATGCTGGGGGACAGAGAGATGGGAGGCGGCCAGAGAAATAGGAGGGGTCCAGTGGCATGGGGACTTGAGGCCCGGGTCCGTAGTGTTGATCTGATGCCAGGTGTGATGGAAGCCACCGAAAGGATCTATGTAGGCAATGACACAATCTGATTGCCATTCCTAAGAGACCACTGGCTGCTGTGTGGGAAACTTCAGGGAAAAACAGCAAAACCTCATGGTTTCTCTGCGGGCTGTCTCTGCGTGAACTCCCGCCGGCCAGAATCAGCTCACTGGATTCTAGCTTCCCCTTAGCTGGGCCACTGTCCATCCTCCCACTTCTGCCTCTAGGGAGGCATCAGGGCAAATTCAGGGCACTTATGTCCCTCCCTCCCTCCCTCCCGACAGCCCAGATGGAGGAACCGTCAGGGAACTTATGCAGTGATGATGACAATTATGCAGCAAGATTCCCGACGGCCTTTTTAAAAAACAAATAGACATTCTTTTTTAGAGCAGTTTTAGGTTCACGGCAAAATTGAGTGGAAGGTACAGAGAATTCCCACATATCCCCCTGTTGCTTCACCATGTATATGCTGCACCAGAATGGTATATTTATAACTGATGAACCTATGTCAACGTATCATTATCACCCAAAGTCTGTAGTTTACATGAGGGTTCACTCTTGGTGTTGTACATTCTCTGGGTTTTGACAGATGTGTAAGGGCATGTATCCACCATTATAGTATCATACAGAATAGTTCTGCTGCCCTAAAAATCCTCTGTGTTCCACCTATTCATCCCTCCCTCCCCCTAACCTCTGGCAACCAGTGATCTTTTTACCGTCTCCATAATTTTGCCTTGCCAGAATGTCATATAGTTGGACTCATACAATGTGTACCCTTTACAGAT